GCTTGAAGGAAGCAGGAAGAGGAGGAAAGCAGCTGGGTGTGGTTGCGCACACCTGAATCAATCCCAACATTCTGGGAGGCCGAGGCAGGTGAATGGCAAATTCGAGCAGTTTAGCAGGACTGTCTGCAAAGTTAAAAATATTTTCAAAAGGGACGGAGATGTAACTGAGTGCAAAGGCTCTGGGTTCAATCCCCAGTCCTCAAAAAGCAAAAGAAAAGTACTGATATATTAGCATGTAGGGCTGGCATTATGTAATAGGCACAAAGCCAGTGGCTTCACTAGATTAACCCAGACTCTGTCTCTCTTGTAGCTCAGACATCCCAACAATGTGTGTCCCAGGATGGTTTGTTGAATTATCTGTGTTCTAAGTAGCGGGATGGGAAGGAATCTGGCCGGGTGCAGAATGACCCCCGCCTTTCTAATCCTCCTCCAGCATCTTCTTGTCTGGCCAGCCATGAGCCATGAGCACTGGGCTGCAAGGGATGCCGGGAAAAGGTAATCTCGTAATTTGGTGGCTATGTGCCCAGCCAAAAAGTGACGATTCTATCAATATGGAACAGGAAAATGGACAGCAGGTGACACCATTCAAAAAGAAAGAATGACTATGAGATAGGAATGTAGTCACTTTAATATTTTTCTTCTTGCACCGTGAGCAAGGGCCTCGTCCAGGCTCAGGCTGTGCCTGCCCTTCCTCGGAGACTTTGCCCCAGAGTTGTCTGATCTTGCCCAGACACTTTTGAATGGGTCTTCTGAAAATAACAGTATATTTTGTGTCAGGACTAGCTACATTATTTGCAGAACCCAGTGCAAAAGAAAATATGGAACATTTCAAAAATAATTAAGAATTTCAAGATAGCAACAGCAGAGCAATAATTATAGCAAGACTGGGGCCTGCCTATGCACAGTGCTTGGTCAGCTCCACAGGTCACATCCCCATGAAACTTCCCTTCTCCCCGCTCATCGGGGGAATGCAGAAAGGAGATCTTAACATTCCCACCCACTTACGATGGCAGCGGAAGTTACCACAGTCAGAATTTTAAAAACAGTACAGTGTAAATCAATGCCCAGTGTGGAGCCTCCAGTGGCTAAGGGCTTCGTGGATGGTAGAGTGGACCCATCGGTGGGTGCTTTAGCCTTTCAGACTTTGGAAGAGAGTCATACCCTCCTGGGCTTTCAAGAGAATCTGCGCTGTGACTTCATTATGTATGTTTAGTAATCCAGATGACCTGTTACCCTCTTGATTCTGAGCCAAAAGCTACGTCCATGTGCCCTGGAAATGACTGGGCCATTCAGTTTGCCCTGCCAGGTTGCCTGGCCCCGGGTGTGGGGACCAGAGTGTGCATAGCTGGGATGGGGTGGCCCTGGCTGTCGTCTCGGGGATGGAGCTGGGAGGGGAGCACAGGCTGGGGCTATAAGAGTTACAATCTGGGTGCATAATACTTCTCACAATTCTCAAATCTACACGGCTCTGAAAACTGAGTTTTCTCTAAGTTTGGTACAAACCCTTTTGCTGCAGAACCTGAGTATAAGGCATTTATTATCTCCATCCCACTTAAAACACTGTGTTGTGTATATTACATTTTGAAAACCTTTGCACTGGGTTTTGCAGCAGCACCTTCTCTCCCAGCAGCAATCTGACTGTGGTGTTTTCCACAGAGGCTGTACTTCTGCTTAATAGCTGGGTGGGCTGGCTGATGTCATCTCATTTTATTCATGCCCACATTAGTCATGATAGTATTCCACACCCTGACAAAACAAAAATAGATTACTTCTACAGCTTCTTCTCCATGTTCTGTACTTGTCTTGGTTGGAGAGCTGAATTCGATTAATTTGACAGGATTTGAAGCTTGACTGAATACTTTCTTATGGCATTAAATATCAAGTGTTTCTTGTCTGATGATTTGTTTTCACCCTTTTTTGGTCTTCTTGGAAATACTAAATGCAATGTGCATATCATGAAGCATGATTGACTTTATTTATATAATCAGTACAGATGATTATAAGTGTTACACAGGCACATTAATTTTGTTCTTAACAAGGACTGCACTGATTTGTAAATTTTAATTAAGTTTGGAAAAAGTTTTCCTATTATATGTTTTCTGTAAAATCTTAATAAATGCTTATCTTTGCATACAAAAATAACAGTTGAATATTCTAATATGTCATTTTTTGGAGCAAAATGATACTTAGATTAATAATCTCAGTATCTAATAATCTAATGATTATTTAATAATCTAAGTGGTTGGTGGTGACCTATGAAGTTGTTTGTTGCTCATAGAATGGACTTTTACTTTTCTTTCTTGGCTGCTCTGCACCTTTGAGCTTTCTCTCCAATTTGTTAATTTGCCCCAAGGTAAAACCATAAACTGTCTTTCCCAGCTTCCCTTGTGGCTTGGGCCCAGTCTGGGCCCCAGGCTCCACCAATCAGATGCTGACTTCTGAGGTTTGGATGTGAAAACTGGTGACATAGATAGGCAGGCGCAGCGTGGAGCAGTCTAGTGGAGGGAAAGACAAACAGGCCTGTTTCCTGGAGAGCTTCTGGCCTGCCCTCTGGTTTCAATGCGGTGTTTGAGCTGTGTCTGTGTCCAGAGGTGGGGTCACCCAGGGTCCTCTGTTATGAGACAGGCCCTCACTATTCCTGGCTTTGTGATCCTTCAAGCTTGGTTCTCTGGGATTCTTCAAGAATCAGCAAACTGTTGTGTATTCCTTCACTCACCCCTTTCCTACTCAGTGTGGCCAGAGAGCGGCTCTGTATATGGCAACTGAGAAATCCAGCTGACATATGAGGGAATTGACAGGATAGGATTCTCGCATACATACCTCCTTGCAGCTGTTGAAAGACAGCAGTAGAATACGTGTTTGGCAGGTCGCTCTTACAGGTCACATCGTTTACTTACACTGATTCATTCTGGGGAACAGCCTTCTGACAGAGTGAGGCACAACCAAATGAGGTGCTTCCGAGAACAGCGGAAGGTGAATTAGTGCTGGTGCCATGAACAGCTATGAGTTTGCATTCACCAGTGGCCTTAGGAGCACTTTTACCCCCAGGGTAAAAGATAAGCCATGAAAGGGTCTAGGATAGAGGTCCTCTGGGAGTTTTTGGGTTCCTGGCTAGAGAGAGATTGAGAGCTGACTGGTACAAAAACACTCCATCTCACTAGACACCCACGATGTAGCCTTTTCACCCACTCATTCAACACAAATTCACCGAGGGCCTGCTCAGCACCGGGCCATGCACAAGCCATGGCAGTGAACCAGTAGGGCTTTAATTTGGTGCTCTGGGGCTTCAAAGTGTTTTCATGAACATGCAAGTGAGGGGAAGAGAGCTGGTGGCTGTTTGTAGTCACTGAGGAGAGGTTAAGTGTTTTTATCTACAGTGACACAGACAATGAGCAGTGAAGCTGAGAACTGAATTCAGTTCTGCTGGATCCAGAGTCCGGATTTCTTTCCAGAGCACTGGGCCTTTTACCTGCCAGGGCTCATGTCAGCCCTGAGAGAAAGTGGACAGAATATCACCATTTCTTCCATTTTCTAGAAAGGAAGCTTACATCAAGGAAAGATTAGCTTGGTAAATATAGAGTGGGGGTCTTCCCAGTACCCAAGATTCTGCTGTTCCAGGTGGACTCTACTGTTATCGCCTGATGGGAAGCATGGGGTTGAGGTTTGCCTTTGAGGGGTGACTCAGGAGGAAGATGTTGAGCCTCCCTCAGCCATCGTGGGCCTGAGGGGCAGGGGTCATGGAGAAGCCAAGTGTGAGAACTAGGGAGACAGTAAGTAAGAGTGCGAGATGCCCTCAGTCCCTAGGGTTGTGCCAGTATAAATGACTCGATCTCCACCCTTACTGATACCACGACCCATGGGCAGGGGAAGTGTGTACACAACTGAGTCATTGCTAACCTCAGGCCTGTGTCTCTTGTATCCCATTTTCCTACCAGATGGCATGGTTTCTCTTTTAATGGAATATTTAATTGAATATGTTTAGATTGTGAGAAACAGGGCAGTTGTAAGAAATAATGCAGAGGAACCTTGTGGACCTCTTGCCTCCTATTCCTCAGTGGTGATGCCTCAGAAAATGACAGGAAGCCAGGGCATTGACATTGATGCAGCCCACTGATCTTGTTCAGATTTCCCAAGCTTTTCTTCCACTCATTCAGTGTGTGCATTTAGTTCTATGCAGTTTGATCACATGCACTATTGCATACCCACCACCATGGCAAGATACAGCATAGTTCCATCATCGTAAGGGTCTTGTGTTTCCCTTTTATGCTTTTATGGCCACACCTCTCTCCCTCCCTGATTTGATCTTTATTCATGCCATGTGTCCTCCGTACCTGTAAGATACTTAATAAGTTTGTGTTATATGAGTAAGTGATCTAACAGTGCCATAAGAGATTAGATACACACACACACACACACACACGCACATGCACACACCCCACAGGACTTGGAGGGCAGAGGGAGGAGCCACTCATTTAAGCTGAGTCTCAAAGACAGAGAAGGAGAGGCAGAGCTTAACAATGAGAGTCACAGACGCTCATGACTCAGGCTGGGGCACAGTGGTAGATCTCATGTGTTCTGAGATGGGCTGCCTGGGTTTGAATTCCCTTCCCATCACTCTCTGTCTGAGAAGTCCCAGGCAAGGGGTGAGCATCACTCATCTTCCTCGGTGTCCTCATCTTTACAGTAGATGTGAACTACCATGCACGTTAGGGGTTGCAGTGGGATGAGCCTGGATGGTGTGTGTATAACACCTGCAGTGCCTGCTACCCATTAGACTTACTCCTATCAATATGCTGGTCATCTTACTCTTGGTTTGGTTGGGTAAGCAGGTCTCCCAGTGACTTCTGATGGAGTCCTAAGTCTGCCTTTGTCTGAGGGAAACTTCCTCCTTGGGGTCAGTGCAGCGGACACCCTGTCCCCACCCCATGGTGGCTCTGCTGTTGTGGACCTGCCCTTGCCTGCTGGTCTCTCCCACAGAGGCTCTAGAGGTACTGCCTACATTTCCCCACATCTGTGATTTAATCTTATGGGAAAAATACACTCATGGGCAGAGGTCAATCTGGGGATTAACAAAGGTCCCAGGAAGTGTCCCTGCTGAATGACCAGGGGTTTGCGTATCCAAAAGTCCTCGGTGATTGAATGAGTTTTGCCCCAGCCTGAGCTCCTTGGGGTGGGAGAGGAGACTGTTTACAAGAATCCAATCTTTTCCTCCTCTGCTTCCTCCTTGTGGGATGGAGGAGGGGTGTTTGCTGTGAGGCTTGACCTGGGACCCCTCTCAGTTCCAATGAAATTCTTTGCTGCACACATAGCTGTTGTGAGAGAAGAAATCTTAGGTCACAAAGGCAAACCAGAGCAGTTAAGAAACCCTCACAGGCCCTTTGTCAACTGTCAGTCCACTGGCTGGGCCACAAAGGAAGGTGAGTTGCAGGGACAAGTTCTTTCTTCTTTTTCCAAGGATTAAAAGAAAACTTCAGAGAAAAATAGGTTTTTCCCACCCTTAGACAATTCCCCTCGGACTTGCTGCTCCCTGTGACTGCTGTCCCCACTGCATTACAGGTAACAACTCTGTTCCTGTAAACTAGGTCCTGTGACATCCTGTTCTCACAGGAATCTGTTTGCTTTCAAGGCTAATTTACAAATCTGTCAGTGTATGAGTAACCGCCATGTTTGCCCACCCATGTTTTTCACCAACCCCCTTTGAGCAAATGTATAAAACTGGAAACTTTTCTTTGTTCCAGGCTTGGCCTTTGAACATTAGTCCATCCAGTTGGTGTACATCTAAAACCTGAATAAATCCTCCTTATCACCACTGTTCTCTCCTGTCTCTTAAAATCCTGCAACAGGATTCCTAGCTAATTCATGACCATTCTAGGGGCTGTAATGAGTGGTATAATTTTTTTTGTAATTATCTCCATGTGAAAAAAGAACAAAATTTTTTTCCTTTCCCAATCTCCACTCTCTTTAGTATCAGTATAGGTTTCCAGATTATTTATGTAATGAGCTATATTCTATTTTTGTCGTTATTTTGATACTCAAATTGTCCTCTGTTTTGCTGAAGGGAAAATCCTTCGCTTGGCTCTATTATCGTTGTTTGACATTTCCCCATCATTTTTGAGGGCCTTCTTACTCTCTGACATACTATAATATTCCAAGGTCATTCTGAGGGAGTAGTTGAACTAAAGCATGTAATCTCTGCTGACTAAAATGTTAGAAAACAAAAACAAAACAAAAAACAGGAACATGGAATTAATGCCCAAAGTCCGGTACTGGCAAACATCTCCCTGAAGTTTGGGAAGCACACTCATTGGCCACTGATGCTCCCAGAAGTGGAGGCTGGGCTGGTCACCAGACTGGAGGGTTCTAGATGCAAACCTTACTCATACTGTCGAGGCTCGTGGGCCCAGGCAAGGGCAGCTCACGAAAACCTGCTCAGTACACCCCTGATTTTGACTCTGCTTGATGAATAACATGACAAGGGCACCAAACCTGTGATAAAAATGTCTCTTTGTACCACTTTAAATTCTTCTGCCCTCTTGTCTGTAGAGACAAGCATGTACAGGAAAGAGGACAAACAAGGGACAAAGTTAAAACTCCTCTAGACTGGCTCATGCCAAAATAAGTAAATAAATAAACAAGTAAATAAAATAAATAAATATTAAACTTAAAAACGTTTTGGCCAAAGCAGAAACTCCTGGGTCAGGGACTTCTGGGAGGTTTGTGTTTTGCTGGGCAAGAGACCCCCCCCAGGCTCTCAGCTGGTGAGTAACCCCGGGCACTCCTGGGGGGTGACAGAGAGGCTACCGGCTGGGGCAGCCACTGGCCGTGTCTCTGGGACTGATGTTAGGCAGAATGCTTGCCAGGCTGTCTCACTTGCATCGTCAGCATGCTCCCACACTGCACTGGACTCTTCTGGGTGCTCCGGACTGAACCCCGGAAGATACTGCCCAGGGCCCAGGTTCAGGAGAAGGCTGGATCCTGGGGAGAGATGAACAGCAGCTGGCTCTGCCCTGTCCATGGCGCCCTGCTTCACATCAGAGACCTTTCAAGGTCCTTTAGCATCATCTACTGAGTTAAACAAGACTATCCTCTGATTTTAGAAAGTGCACTGACACTTTAGATAAAAGGTGACTGCAGCCTGATTTTTTAAAAACTCACTGCATTTTCTAGGGCAAAGTGACTTGGATCCAACCATCTGGCATTTCTAGTCTTCCAGGTGTTGAAAGAGGGTGACTATTAATAAAACAAGCAGATAGGTAGCACTCACGTTTTAAAAATCAAATCCCAAATGCTCAACATCTGCAGCCATCAGGGAAATGCAAATCAGAACAACTTTCAGACCTGCTCCTGGGTCAGAATGGCTGTCACTGTGACCACAAATAGTGATGAAAGAGGGGAAATAGGGGAAAGAGGGACTTTTCTACACTGCTAGCGGGAACATAACTTCCTACAGCCACCGTGGAAACCAGCACAGAGATCCTTCCAAAAACTGAAAGAGAAATTCTGTGGGATCCATCAATGCATTCCTAGGTGTATTCCCAAAAGAACCGAACTGGACAGCACACTGTAGCGACGCACGCATACCCGTGTGTAGAGCAGCATTACCCATGATATCAAGCTGTGGAAACAGGCTGAATGCCTGTACACTGATGAAGGGAGGGAGGAAGTGCAATATGTATTATTCGGCTGTAATTTGTTATAATTTGCAAGAAAATGAATGGAACTGGAGATCATCACGCCAGGCAAAACAAATCAGACATAGAAAGTGAAATATTGCACGTTTTCCCTGACATGAGGACTCTAAAACGAATACAATAAGGAGACAGGACAGGAAACTACAAGGCAGAGATGGAGAAAAGGGTAGAGCAGGGAAGGGGCTGAAAATAATCCGTGCATGCCCCGCGCAGGTGCCGATGCACCAAACGACCCTCGCTGCTCCGTGCTGCTAATGAGCACTAGCCGATATTTTTAAATGGAAAAAAGGTCCAGGGCACTTTCAGCAGTCGAGCGGCACGCACGCCCCCCCCCGCCCCCCTGCTTGGCCTGCCCACCACTAGACAATGTGTCGCAGGGACAAGGCCAGAGGTCAGAGGCCAGAGGTCAGAGCCAGCCCACTGCCGCCCTGGTCCTCACACCCAGCCTCTGCTGCCCTGGGTGCCGGACCCTGGGCTGCCAGCGAATATTCAGTCTCGGCCACTCAGCCTGCTTCACTGAGCCGGGAACACAGGCCACCCGCTTACCAGCTTTTAAATAACTCTTACTCCGTTCCACAAGAACAAGCCTGAATGAGGAGGCGCAGCTCGGGCTGAGAGGCAGAGCTCTGGATGTGATGGAGTTTGACGCGAGGGCTGGGTTAATCCGGCCCCTTCTATTCCGTCAGCTGCGAAGTGAAGTGAAGGCCTGGATTGGGCTGCTCAGCCTCATCCCACGTGTGCTCCTCGTCTCTAAAAATGCCTGAACATCTGCTGTATAATATTTATTAAACGCCTGTGCTGGATGGAGGCTGAAGGTGAGAGGAGGAATGTGTCTTGTTCGTTCCTCCGGGGGCTCTCCCTGTGCTCGGCAGGAAATCGAGGGCGTTGGTTTCCGAACACACTCAGGCGCTCAGAGCCCGCAGTCCGATGGAATTAAATATTTGTTCCCCATTGCGCAACTGTAATCACCAGGGCCCACAGCAGGGCTGACTTTCTAGAAAGAGTTTGTCCCGTTGCCCGTTTCCATGGTATCAGAAACGCCTCCCATGAGTTGAGCCCTGCCAGTGTGATTTAGGTTCTTTCAGATTGCAAATAGCAACAAATGCAGAGTCCCTCCCTCGTCTCCACAGACGCAGGGCACGCGACAGAAAGTGCAGTGTGGTCAGGAGCGCAGGGCTTGAGGCGAGTCTGGCCGCTCGGCCGGTGGGCTGGGGCTCTGGGGTAAAGCAGTCCGCAATCAGAGCTTCCTTGCAGGGTTGTTTTGAGGATGAAGTGAAGTCTCCACTGTAGAATCATGACCAGGAGTTGAGGTCTAGCCACTGACTTTTGACATTTAGTGAAACTGTTGTGGCCATAATGATAGGCCCAGTATTAAAATTTGTAGACAGTTTAGAGTTTATCACTTGTGTTTAAAAGCTTATTCAGAGCTGAGTGTCGTAGCACACACTTGTAACCCTGGGAGGCTGAGGCAGGAGGATCCCAAATTTGAGCCCAGCTTGAGCTACCTAGCAGCTCAGTGAGGCACTGTCTCAACTATGAAATAACTTTACTAGGCCAGGGCGCAGGGAAGCGTATTCAGTTTTCCTGTCTCTTGTAAATGACATCTATTTTAAGTTTTTCAGAGTACTTCATTTTCTAAAAACAGTAAGAGAGTTTTTATATAGAGGATGACTAATTTTGTGTTCTTCAAGGAGGCCAGCTTGTTCGTGGGTCGCTGACTTTTTGGCCTGCTTTTCAGCAATCTGAGCATGGCTGGGAAGAGAACATCACGCCCTCCGTTCTGAGGCAACACATAGGAGAGGTGGGGCGAGCCTCCATCCGGAGGAGGCCCAGCAGTGCCCCTCTCTCTGATAGCACCAAGCAAACATGTCTGCAGCCAAGTTCCCCTTCGCGGACTCATACTTTGGCAGAGTCTTGTTACTCATTGGTAGGATGAGACCAGATCCAAGGAGCCCGCGAAACTGTGTGTCCCAGCAGTTCCCAAATCTATTTCCGAGTGGAACCTCTTTCTTGGTGGAAGGTGTATGCATGCGTCACAAGGTCTGGGTAGGTCCTCTGAGAAGCACCTCTGTGCCAGAGGTCCACTGGGCGAAACATGTGGGGAGGAAGGAATAGCAAAAGGCAAAGCATCCCCAGCCCGAGCTGTGGGTCTGCAGCCTGCAGTGGGAGGAGGGAGGAAGACTAGACTGGGAGGATCTCCTGGGCAGCAGGGAGTCTCGGTCCATCACCCGTCTTGCAGGGAGGAGCCTGAATCAGTGCCCTGGCTGCGCTTCACTGTTAACTGGGAGAAGCCCAGGGACGCGTGGCCTCTGGGGACAAGGCCTTGGTCCACACTGCTCCTGCAGCTGGGCCCCCACCATTCCTGGTTGTGCTTGTTAGAGCGCTCAGGGCTTCTGGAACCCAAGCGGTTACTCTGCCCACTGTGGGACTTGTCCTTTCTGCCCCAGCCCGTGGTGACACAGAGCCTTCTAGAAATATGGGGGATTACAGCAGGCCAAGTGCATCAGCTGCTGCAATGGCACAGTGCTCCTGATTCACTGAGGCACCCTGATTCACGGTCGCCCCAGATTTCCAGGCCTAGCATGGTGCTGGGCACCAGCGGGTACTCAGCGAATGTTTGCTGAGTGATGATAACAGATGTTGTGGGTCCTGGGAGGGAACAGGCCGCGATGAGGGCTGTGCGTGGGCCCGTGATGCTACACAGAAATGTGGCTTCTCTGCAGGAGGCACGGCCCGGTGAGGCGGTGCGTGGCTCCCGCTGAGGCCTGCACTTGCATCTGGATCCCAAGGAGCCACCTGGTGGTGAGGGTCTCATTCTTCCCAGAGTGGAAAGGGCCGGGGGAGGCATGCAGATTTACTTTGCAGTATGTTCTCTTTTGCATTTAAACGCAAATTCTGAACCCCAGGGCTGACGGTTCTCAGGTGACCGCTGTGCAGCATTGCCCTAAGCCCCCACGGCTCATCTCTGGAGCTGCTCACCTCACTGCCCGCTTTGGTTTTGCAGCTCATGCTTTTGCCCCTTCAGGGAAGTCCAGCCGGGGCTCAAACGTCCAAGGCGCCTGAGCCAGGAAGAGAGGGAAGGCAGAGAAAGGGAAGGAGCTTTGCAGCTGGGCGATTTCTGAGAGTTGAGTGCAGCCCTTCTTTCGGCTCTCACTCCGGGACTGGAAATAGCTTTGCTCGATCCTTTTTGTGTATTTCTTTGTACCAGCTCAGCGCTCTGTCCAGTGTATGTCTGCATAATGAGCCAAGGAACGAATTGCACGTGTCTGCTGTCCGGGAGGCACTGGGAAGACTTGGGGTACCAGCTCATGCCCTGATGCACATTGCTGTCTAAGATAGAGGTCAGCACTGATGAAAAGCATCACAGAAAAAAACACTGCAAACCATGAGTGGTGCACAGTGAATGCGCTGGGCTCCGGGGAGCTCAGAGCTGGGGAGCTGCTGGCCTGGTCAGGGCAGACTCTGCCCGCGTGGTGCTCAGCAAGCCGCACAGGGTGGGAGGGGTTAACCAGGCGGGGGGGGGGCTCAGGTGAGTCCAGGTACAGAGAAGGGGAGGGAGCATCAGGTCGCCCAAGGGAAGGTCAGTGGCCCAAGGGTGGGACAGCTGGGGAGGACAGTGGCGGCTGCCAAGATGCAGCAGGGAGATGGGGCCGTAGCCGCTAGCACGGATTCCCTATGATGCGCAGTCCACACGTGGCCACTGCTGACTGCCCACCGTGTGGCCCAATGGTCTCCGCTGAGACAGTGGGCATGGGTCTCTGCATCCGGTGCAGTGGCCTGGTGGTGAGGGTACCCCTCTGCACAAAGGAGAAAGGTCCTAGCAGGAGCACTGACTTATTTTCCATCTTGGAAATTGAGTCCAGGGAGCACTGAGCTATGTCCCCCTCCCTTTTATTTTTTACTTTGAGACACGCTCTCACTAAGTCACTGAGTTGCCCAGGCCTGGTTTGAACTCGCCACCCTCCTGACTCAGCTTCCCAGAGTGCTGCGGTTGCAGGTGCTCTACCAGGCCCAGTTAGGAGGAGGAATGCAAGCCTCAGATGCAGACTGCTTAGGCGGTGAGCGCCAACAAGAGCTGCTGCAGGGCATTTTGTGAATGAAAGACTAGATGGGACAAGGAGAAGATGGGGTTCCCTTGAAAGTGCACGGATGGGGGTCCCAGCCGTAGTGGTCCTGGGCAGCAGGAAGCCCCACTTGCTCGCCTTCTCCTCATGTCGTCTCGTGCAGTACTCTCTGACCCGAGACCCTGGACAGCAGCAAATCCACCGTGACCCACAGCAGGAGGGGAGTGCACTGGGCACCCTGCTCTCTGGGAACCCTGACCAAAGCCCTTTCCTCTGCGCCTTTCTGCGCCCTGTAGAGCGGGCAGGGAGGGGGAGTGAATGTTCAGCCTGCGTCAGCTTCGCCTGGGAGCCCGGCCCTCTACCCAGGCCCCTCTTCCATGAGGCTCTGCTCCTCCAGGAGTGGCCCTGGCCCTTGCCCTGGGTCCACCTCACCCCCAGCACTGTGCCTGACACCAGCCTCAGTGGGGAACCGAGACCCCGTTCTTTCCTGGGGCACCGAGAAGATACGCTGGAGGAACAGTGGTGTGTTCACTTCCTAGGCTGCCGCAGACACCCACGAACGGGGCTGCTCTCCTCACACTGATCTGGAGGCCGGAAGTCAAGGCTGGGCAGGGCCTCGCTTCCTCTGAAGACACCGGGGAAGAAGCTGTCCTTGCTTTCTCCAGCTCTTTACAGCTCCAGGATCCCTTGGCTTGTGGCTCCATCGCCTCAGTCTCTGCTCTGTCTGCACCTCCTCTGTGACTTCTGCTTTCATGACCGATGAGGAGGTTTGAACTGGACTTAGAGCCCACTGGGTAACCCGGGATAATTTCCTCCTTAGATCCAGGGCACATTCACAGGTCCTGGAACAGGGTGGGGTATCTTTCAGGGTCCAGCATTCAACCCACTGCAGGTGGGGATTTCAGAGGCACTGGACCCACCATGATGCCTCCTTTTATTTTATCCATTCTTCTCCCAATAAACTGGGACCTCTTTGAGATAGCATGAGAATACAGGCCCAGTGAAATCCCCGAGTGGAGGCGCAGGCTGCGGGGAGAGAGCCTCAGTCCAAGCTGACACTCGCCAGCCTCACTGGGTGGGGCACAGTGATGGCACCCAGCTTTGAGCCTGCTGTGGGGTTGCCTAGGTAACACCGATGGTGGCAGCTCCACCTGGCCAAAACACAGTGCTCGGAGAACCTCAGCCATCACTGTTATATGTGAACAGTGGAAACATTTAACATGTGTGGTGGGCGGAGGATGTCAGGAGTCCCAGTGGCTGGACCAGGTTCGGCACGTCTAGAGCTGGAGTCTTTTGCTCTTGATTGGCCTGTCCTTACCTTGCTTGGGACAGGACCGGTGGCAACTGCTGCTCTCAGGCCCTACTCTGAGCTTGTTTGCTGATCAGAGTCCTGGGCCCTGGCAGCTAAGCCGAGCAGAGGGCATTGCTTTTCAAATAGAGATAGGGCGCAGCCAGGCACCTGTACACAGGAAGGGACTTCAGGGGAGGTGACCCGCCCTGCAGGAGGGACAGCCTGTGTCTGATCCCTGGTGCTGGCTGCTGGGTTCCCCAGGGACGTTTTCCACCTCCCCAGACAAGTACCGGCTGCTGCCCACCTGCTGGGCTGACCTCCTGGGCCCAGAAGCTGGTGAGTGTGTGGGCCCTTTGGGTCCAGGCCAGGAGCCTGTGATCAAGGAGAAGCCACTGCTCTTCTCATGCCGCTCTGCCCACAGCCTCTGCTGCAGCCTGGGCTGCTGGATGCCCTGCAGGCGCTGTTCCTCTCTGGTCCTTAGAGACCCGGGATGTTCAGGGTGAGGCTGTGAACAGCACAGAGACCGAGCTCAGCAACTGTGTGGCGTAGGCAAGCTCCTCGACCTCTCTGAGCCGAGGGCCCTGAATCTGGTGAGGATGGCACAGCCTCTGGCGCTGGGA